GATGTATAATTATCGGTTATTTATCAACTAAAAGTATAGGAAATTAGTACATTGTGAATGATAATATCATTTTAATGCTATTTTTGAAACTAGTTCAAAAGTTGCATTTAACGATACTCAATGTTTCATTTTACCGTCAGTTTTAGTTTGACATATCCGTCATTTTATGTTTACAAAGCTCAGTTTCTATTCGAAAGTAAGAGAAACAGTCAAAATAAAATGCGAAAAACACTTTTTATCAATTTCGTTTATGTCAACTGAAAGCGACAATTGATGAAGACGTAACAAATAAATTAGGTCGAGAAATAAAAAAATCTATACTATAAGTAACATACCATATATTATACCTGTTAAAATAAATCAAAAATAAGAGAACATATCGTTGACGTATATACTTTTCCATCTGTGATTAGTGATTACCAATTGCAAATTACGTATGAACATGCTTCTGCGCAAAAAAAACCATTATTTCAAGTACTTGTATCATTAAAGTCCATTAAATTATTATTTTTATAAATTTGCTAATCTTTGCACTTTAAGCTTCATTATATGGGGTATCCAGACATTTTAATCCTCGTCCTCTTCTATTTAAAATTATCTCAGGTACCATATATTCCGAGTAAAATTTTTCTAATTTTTCAACAATATTTTAAAAAAAAATGGGTTGAATATGAATTTTTTCAACAAATATTGGATTTTCATCTCCAGTATATACTACAAAGAAGCACAATTTTCTTTGAGCTATACCTAGCTGTCCTTGAATCTAAAAGTATATAAAATCATTATTAGAAAATCAAACAAAAAGAATATTAATATTGTAGTATCATTTCTAGCACATTTCTTAAAAATCATGAATTTATTAACATATTGAAATTTTTCACATGGTAAAAGCAGTTATGGTTTACTTTTAAATGAATGTCACCATCTTCTATTTTTAAGCATGGAAATGGGTTTGAATATTAGGTAATGTGCGCCAATAATGTCAAATTATGACAATTCGCAGAAAACGTCAACTTTTTATTTAGATTTTAATGTGCAAAAGCCTACCTACTTTGGATATTGATCGTAGAAAAAATATATTCAGAATAATGAAACATTATTATTAAATAACAAGTTTTTTTATTGTCAAATTTAATACGTAATATTATTTTTTAACTGCAAATATTTGAATGTTAAAATTATAGCGTTTAATTTTTTTATTCAATGACGAACTCGAGAGTGATAGAAAAAAATACTACCTACCTTTAATGCAGGAAGTCGATGTCAATTTATCCAAAAATAAAACTGATTAAAATGTACAATGAAACTCACTAGGATACTTGGCACAAATAAATCAATTTTCTATTAAAGAAAATAACACTTATTAAAAACAAACAGCACAATAAAACACTTCAGAAACGTGTGATGTAATTTTGAAAACTAAATACCCGTAAGCTTGTTTGTAAATTTATAGACTCTTAACTCCTTCCCCCAGCCTTCATTAAGTATATTAAAAGTCGTGACGTCATATTGGCACAGATATACGGTAATGTGTTATTGACAATCAGGGACATGTTTCTAGGAAATAACTACCTAAGATAAGATAAGATAAGATAAATGAATGTTAAATACCTACTCATAATATCTATTGTAGGGTTTTTGTACTTTAATAGGATAAATATTTATGCGGGCCTGGAAATTCCAGGAAATGACAATCAAAATTACCCAAAAACATTAGGTTAGTACCAACATCAGATAACAGATAACTTCGGTATTTAACCAATTAATCACAATTAATATTCTTGAACATTCAAATGACAAAAACTTCCATCTTTAACCAATGAGAATATAGTTTTCATTCGATACTTCAAAATCACAATTTATTGGTAGAATAGTTTTAAAAATATTGCGAATTGCGACACGTCAAGCGTCCTACTCCGACTCAATGTGACGCAATTATTGTGGCAATATATTTTGAAACGACTCTATATTCGTGACTTGAAATTATAAACATCCCTCGTATTACTACCCGTATATAAACCAAATTATTTGTTTTAGGAAATATTTATATTTAATGTGAGGCAAGCTATCGTTTTTGTTGTTACCATCTGCATCTACATTCTTTACTTTGGTCCAGGAAACAAAGTCAATTTTCGATAAAAATAAAATGTACTAGGTAGGTAATACTTTATGAAACAGTACAATAAAAGTATTGAAATAAAGTATGCTCATACTCCAAAATGAGTCCTAGAGTTGACATTTTTATAATATTATAAATGGCATATAAAACGATTGGACCGTTTTCACAATCACGAAATAATTTTTTTTATTTGGTAAAATCCCGGCAATTATTGAAAAATAGATTTTACGTTCAGGACTATTATTATGATCCTTCGAACTCAGTCTACTAAAAACCGGTTTATAATACAATATCCCCTAATAGTTAGTCGGTCGATATTTATAGTTACTTAAAGATTTCTGTAATAATTTGCACTAATTCAATCTCTAGTCGGTAGGTAACAGCACCTCCTTGATTGAATCTAAATTGACATAATTTTGTTCAGAAATTCCTAGGAGACGCTGTCCTTAAGCCAACATTTATTAGTTCCCCTGATATTAATGACACTGTAATTTAATACAACGAAATTCAGACGAAATTTTTGTCGTCTCTTTAAATTTTCTTATATTCTAATATTTTTAATTTTAATATAATAAGCCTTTTATGCCGACCTTTCCCACATACACACACATTGGATGGAGTTCTTAAATTCTCATTTGTTACAGCGACTTCTCTTACAATTTTAAATAATTAATTTCGTATAATTTGTCATGTTGGTATACCTGTCTTACCCTCGTTGAACTTTGGCCATTTTTGTTGGAGTCTATTTAAAGGCTTAGAATATTGTTGTCATGTATATGGTTTTATTGTTAAAGAGTTAATTTCTCACTTTGTTTGCTTTTGATAAATGGCTGTTTACTAATTTACAAGTAGATTGGGAAATAGTACAAATAATCATTAATATTACTATAAATGCAGCAGATATTTTAATATATAATGTGACCTAGATAAAAACTGCAAAGCATATATGGATCTCGCAAATTAAACTAATACTATAATATAATAGTAGATAATAATAATTGTAATATAGGAATAAAGAGTAAATATGTGTGTGTTTGATAAGTAATATTGTTTGATAATTAAAGGATAATTGAAAAGTAATAAATAATAAATTTCATTTAATTTGTTTATTATACAGGGTATTCTTTTATAATATTGTAAATGATTGAAAAAGCATAAGTTTATACAGTTTCTATCTTAAATGATAAATTAAAGTTCAACATGGGAACGATGAGGTTAAACAGCTCATCAAAAATGCAAATCTAATTTTTTCTTCCCCTTTGATATTCATTTTTCATTTGAGAAATTTGAATTATTTCCTCTAATATTGTAAATGGTTTATTTTTGGGCGCGTTCCTCATAAAATTGATTTCTACAAAAAAACTTTGCCATGTCTGGATTAAATTTAAGATATTTTATTTTGTCTTGTTTTCTAAATACCAATTTATCATTGTCTGTATTGATTTCACTTGAGAATTGTTTTAGAGTTAGTAATGTGTATATTAAAAGATTGAAAGTGTCTAAAATGCTACAAGGGAGTTTATTTATGATGGCAAGTACATCATTTCACGGTATAATCAAAGCTTTAAAGTTTTGGAACAACTTTTTGGTTATTTTATTTTTATCACTATAGAAATATACTATTTTTAATCAAAGTTCTTTTTACATATATTTTGCGTATTATCGGGAGTAAAATTACGAATTTTTAATTATTGAAGTTTGGATGGATTCCCGCTGATCCGTATTTGTACTTTATTAAACAAATTTATGCTAAAATTACATGTTGGGAGAGATGCGAAATACGGAGATATACGATAGAAGCTTATAACGCATACCATACTATACATTCCATTATCAAATTATATATCAGGCTGCATACTCGAAATTAGCCACAATTATTATATGTTCTACCAAGTTTGTAAAATATCTGGTTTTGATGATTAAATCAATTTTGTGTTTAATCGTTAAAGGAAGATTTAAAACAAATTAGGCAAAACGTTTTCTGCAGATGTACACCCATGAATATCCATAAATAAATAAATAAATAAAAGTTTTACACTAAAAAGAACATCTTCATTTAGGTACACTGGTTTCATCAAATAATTGAATTGTAAAAATATTTATATTATCTCAAGATTTACCCTTAGAAAATTGCGGGCAAAAGCTTTTAATATCACTAGCTTCCCCTTGGTTATTAATTCAAATTTCTTCATCTTCTCTTGAGTTCGGGTGAAAGTACATTCAAAATAGTTGCGCTTGTTTTAAAATTATTGCCTAATTTACTCCCTAATAGCTTCAAATTTTAACCAATACCTTCTCACATAAAGAAACAACCTCTAAAGTTTTCCAAGCAGTCCCGAAGGTTTGCAAGCACTGTATCTATTATACTAATATTACAATGAGATGAATTTACGAAATTATATGGCTTAGAAACAGATAAACTAGAAACAGACAATCGACTTCGAAATATACGAATAATTAATGGCTTGTAAAGTAATAACCGTTTCTAGTTGAACCCTATAGAGCCTAAGAGGTCTAGTTTAGTAACTTATTCTGGAAATTCGACCCTCTACTCTTCAGTAATTACGCTAATGGATTCTATTTACTAAAACAACTTGAATAATTAATATCTCTATTAGCATTTTTATTTATTGCTCCTATTTCTGTTTGTTACTTGAAAATATCCAACTAAAAATTTTATAGAGTAAAAATTCAAGATTATTTTGTATCGTAGGTCTAAAGATGACAATATAGGCCGGAACTACTTAACTAATAGACCGATAAATCTCTTCTAAATCCAAAAGTGATAATTTTACAATTAGATCAAGTAATATTACTTCTGATTAGAAGAGAAATAATTAATGGTGATGTTTAATGTAAAAAAAAATACGCCCTTCCCTATAAAACACTATTTCTTCTTTAATTTATTACCAGGCTTTCCCCCTTTCAACAATTTTACAACAAACCTAATAAATAATAATATTACACCTATATTTAAACTAATAAATGCAATAATATCAACAGAATATCGTTTGTACCATGGTAGAGTTGCTGCCACTGATTTTAAATGAGGTGCACCATTGTGTCTTACTACGTACTCAATCCAAAATACTGCTTCATCTAGTTGATGCACTGGTTGATCCTGCATTACTTTGGAACGTTCTTTGGCATTTTTCCTGTAACTGCAAAAGAAAAATAGCAATAGTTTATATACAGACGCCATTTTCTATTTAAAATCATTACACCCTTCGAAAAGGTCAAGGTTAAAGTTGGGCCTAAGGCCAAAGCCAATATCAAAAATAAATATAACCAATATTCTCCATCATGCAGTGATCGAGACTAACTAGATATCTTTGATTCCGCTTTTTTCTTGGAAGACATTCCTGGTTCGTAATAGCGTTTCTAATCGAAGGTTTTGAAATGTTTGTCAAATGTGTATTCTTTCTATGACACCGTAATTAGATTTATTATTTTCCAATTTTAATTGGTGGTACATATTCGGAATAACTTTCTGAGTTGAGGGTGACATCTACATACCAAATTTTTGGTTAATATCATCCCTCTCCTCCTCCTCCTCATAGAATTATGTAGGGTCACGTGGGGGTAAAAGCGCGTTGTTTTGGGTAAATGTATCAATAAAAATTCAATTTTAGTGTGGCATTTATCCTATGTTTACGGGATCAATAAAAATTTAAAAAATATATTACCAAAATTTATTATAAATGACAATTGTTTGTTTCATTTAATTGTACCATAAACGTTGAAATGGGAATCTTAATAAAGTCTCATCTATTGACTAGTAATTAATTAATATAAATTAATTTATTTTAATAAAATATTCTCGTACAGATTATATATTTTTTACATTTTCTCAGTATATATTAATATTTGACCCCCAGTTTTAATCCAAAAATTAACATTTTCTATTATCGAATTTGTAGGTATAGGTAAACAATAATGTAAACTGCCAAAGCCGACTTTGAACTGTTTAAATTTTACAATTTATGTGGGTATTTAAATATAAATTTAATTGTTTTTGAGGTGAAACTGATCCTAATTATTTAAAAAATAGTCTATCAGAATTATAATTATTTACATACCTACAAAGATTACATTATTTTCATCACTTTTAAAGGGCCTCTGAAAAGTTATGTTTTTATAAATCAAAAATCCAACAGTAATGTGAATACAACACTGGATAAACAAACATTGTCCATATGTGTCCAGTAAACACGACGATGACACATCGATGCGTGCCGAATAACCAATTAGAACATAAGTTGAACAAAATCACAGAATTACTATTGGATATCCCAGTCCACGTTGACCGACTTTTCTTACGGGTTATCGTGGGCTGCTGCAAATAGAAATTTAAAAAAGGCTCGATTCAACCAATAGGAGAATCTAAAACTAATTGAACCGACAGATTTTCATCGTACAGCGATGTCAGACATAAAATATTTATTCGATACTAGCTTCCAGCATATTTGCTCGAAGGGTACTATGCGCTAAACGTACATAGTTGTTTAGCTGTAATAGAATTGAATGCATCACTTTATTTCTGCAGTTTGACAAATTGTTCGCTCACAAACTTTATTATTGCATTTATTTGTGTTTGACTGTTTTGTTGTATTATAAAGTTAGGAGGAGTTAAATAAAATTATTGAATAAGTATATGGAAATACTTATTTTTAGATGACTCCTGCTACTTCACAGGGCCTCCAGCGCCCCCCCTCATCAGCCGCCACTGGTTTAAATACTTATTACTTCTTAATTTAAATTTCTGTTAGCTGTATGTTGAGTGTTTAAAAATAAACTACCATTAACGTGTAAAGAGTTTCTAAAAATAGAGATATTGGGTAAAAAACAATAGATTTATTTTTCTGTCATGTGCTGAATTTTATTTATATTTATAAGATTAAGTAAGTAAGTTAAAAATAGAAAGTAATAAAACCGAGCTCTTCAATTAAAAATTTAGATAAAAATAAGTCTTTGCAAGATAACCTAAAGAAAATTATTTTTTTAAACCAAAACAAAAATATAAAAATACCAATTTAATAAAGATTATTGTATAGTGTTTATACTATTATTTGTTCAGGATTTAAAGTACTTACCTTGGATTGTCGAGTATTTCGTTAAGAGTTTTATCAAACGATTCTTCATCCAGATGTTTTAGGTCCAACCTAACTGCAAAACCTTTTCTAGTTGCATCTTCGATATTTTTCATTTGATCCCAAAACACGGGTATACCAAAAATTGGTACTCCATGATGTACTGCCTCGATAGTCCCGAGCAGTCCTCCGTGAGATATGAATGCTACCACGTTTGGATGAGCTGAAATTGTTTAAATTTGATTTTAAAAAAGATACAGTATTGAAAAAATTATTCCTACCCAAGACATCTGCTTGAGGCAACCAATCCATAATCATAACGTTGTTAGGCTTCTCGGGTAGATCGGTCTCAAATTTCCACAAAACCTTCTGCTTAATTTTCGAAAAAGCTTGCAATATAGCTTTCCTCTTTTTTGGTTCAAAATTGGCGCTTTTCAAATTGGACCCCATTGAGAATAAGACAACACCATCTTCAGCTTCGTCCAAGAACTTTTTGATATCCTTCGGAAGAGGTTTTGTTGGGGAAACGTGGTAACCAGCTATTGGTTTGGTATTTGGTTGTAGAGGTACAGGATCGCTTAAGCTAGAATGTGATAGCGATAAAACCATACTAGCGTTATAGAGGATCGTCGATAAATCTGGTGCATCCGGGAAATGTTCTTTCAGAAGGCTGTTCTGATCTGGAAGCAGCCTGAAATGGACGAACAATTCACCAGCATAATAAAGATAGGTATTCTGTAAACGCTGCCAAAAGGTCATCTTCGGGTCAAAATCTGTCAAAAGATTAGGAACGAAAGATGGCGGCGCTTCGTTTCCAACCAGGTAGTTGTTCAGAGTTGCTGGTGGTACCGGTACGAGGAATACAAGAGGGCATTTGAATCTGTGGTGGAAGATGGTCATAGCATCGTTTACGAAGTGTTCTAACAGTACCAAGTCAAATTCTTCATTGGAATTCATCAAATCTTTCACGCCTTTCGTCTGGAATACTTTGCTCGTGTAGAAGTTACCCAGATTTTTGATCCATTCCAATTGACTTAGGTAGGATAATTCTCCGAAGTCTTTTAATTGTGCTGTCCATTCTGTAAATGAGAAAATTAAATTTAAAGTCGTAAAATCCAGATTTAACCTACATAGCAATGCATCATTTAATATATATTTCTTTGGATTTAAAAAAAAAAAAATTGATACGCCTTTGTAGAATCAAACTATTAAAGGTGTGTATTGGCTTACTTATTTTGTAGTTATACGCCTTGGATAAAATTATGCAAGAATTTTTAAAATATTTTTATGGACATGTTATAACACTGTATTACATTTAGAATATTCGTTCTTACATTAAAGCACATAAATGAAATATTTCTATAACAGTTGTACTACATTTTAATTACTAACAATACCTAAGTATAGAGAGCTTACATTTTGAAAAAGGTTTTCTTGAATCAAATAGATTCGTTTGAAATCTGTTTGTTTAATCCAAGACCACCAACTTCGAGTTGAATCAAATGTTGAATTTACTTTAAACCAATTTTTTTAATTGTTTGAATAAAGATTTGTCGAATCTTGTTGAAAATAAATTATTTATTTGAAATGACAAAATGATTGATTTAATTCTAGACTGTTTGAATTAAAGAAATATTTATTCCATAAATACTATGGTATTACTAAGAGACTTTTCAACCAATGGTAGCTATTTTAATATAAATTAATTTGTAGTTTAAATTAAACAAATATTATTTATTTGAATGAAACAAATAAATATTACTTTTCAACAATTAAGATATGTTCGGACCTTCTAAAGCAAATAAACCATCATTTCAAAAGAACACCTACGTTTTGTGGGCTCTATTGAAACACTTTATTTCAGAGGTGTTTCAGAAAAATTTCAAACATAACATTTCTAGTACAAGTTTCTGAAATATTTTAGTTAAATATTTCACTGAAAATTTTTCTGAAACATGTTATAAATGTTACACGAAGGGTTACAAAACGGGATATATTGTAAAACTTAGCATAGATATTTCAGAAAGATTTTAGAAACGTTTTTCTGAAATATCACTATGAAATATTTCTGAAAGATGTCAAATTTTTATTTTAGAAATATTACTGTGAAATATTAAATTAAGAGGATATTTTTACATTTCAGAAATGTATCTGTGACATTTCGTAATATTTATAAATTATAAATATTTCAATGTATTATTTTTGAAATATTTCCAAAATGTTTTTGTACTATATAGGTTACGTCAAATAAATTTTGTTTGAATCAAGATTACCTTTTTCAAAGTGCAGCACTGTTAAACTTTTATAAATATTTATTCATTTATGTTTTAATAATTAATATGTTAATAAGTTTATTGTTTGTTTTTTAGAAATAATAAATGCAGCAAATAATTGCTTTAAAATTCTATTATATGTAGTTTCAAAATCTACTTATTGCTTTTTATTAACAACTAAGAGAATCTTAAGATCATCTCCGAAGAGTAAATGCTTATATTTTACATAAGTAAATAATCGAATTTAAAATTCAGGAAACTTAACGGTTATTGATTAGAAAACTAGGACAATAAATTCCTTGGATTTTCACAAATAAATCCTTAAATTATTCCTACGAAATATTATTTTAGATCGTAGAATCAACATTGTGCACCAGGTTGGCATCATTATTTGCTTAATTTTTAATATTACGTTTTGTTGATACAGTTTAATAATCTATTATCTAATAGATTATTTAATTCAAGTATATTAAATAAACTGTAATCACGTAATGTTATTTATTTTTATTAATGTTAATTACACTAAACCTAAACATGCCATGTTTATAATTGTATATTACTGAATTCATGAAATTTAGTTAAATATTGTTTTTTCAGCACTTTGTAATCAGTATGTAATTAATTTGATATGTCATGGTTTCTAGTAACACAGAAACTATTGCAAATAACGCAAAACATCTTCTAAATATATTTCTAAATTTGAATATTTTAATTAATTCGTACAATTTTACGCCATTTTTCTCTTCCTTACATTCCAACTAAATTCAATGATGAAAATCACAAAATTTCTGACTTTGGCCACTTTTGCTTACTAAGCATCATTGTGGTTTCAAATTCTTATAGAAAAACATACATTTCAAACAACCTTCATTTGAACCTTGTTTGTATGTCTTTAACACAAATTGAAATATGGAGCATTATTATTCATAATAGAACATCCTGTATAGTTTCTTAATACAAATGAAGCAGCTGGCAAAAAAACGACAATACCTGGATTTGTTTACAACACAGTCGTCTATTTTTTATTAAAGACTTATTTACCAACAAGCTATTTTTATTTGTTACTGATAAAATGTTTTGCCACCCAGTGCATTAAATTATAAACAAGTTTATACATATTTACAATCAAATATATGCACATACAAATAAAGGTTGTTGTTTTTATATTTTGGTTTAAATAAATTCATACAATGAAAATTTATCTGCACTGATTTTTACTTTCCTATCTGTATACAGATATAAGGAAAGTACCAATAGGAATCATGATTTTTTTCGACCTCGAGTTTTCGACGGATTTTTACGTTTTGAGGTCCCCTGAATCCGTTTTGACTATTTTCGCGATGATGTCTGTCTGTCTGTGTGTGTGTCTGTATAACGCATAACTCATGAACCGATACACAGAAAAACACCAAATTTTAAACTTAAGCTTTGTTTCAGCGTCCAATGAGCTGATTAGATTTTGGGCAGAGTCGGAACATCTGGGGGGGTACTTTATAGGTGGTCATTTTTATATTTTATAGAATATATCTGTTATTTACGTTTGGAGAAGAAAATTCTTCAAATAAAAGTTACTTCTAATATAATTGTCTATAATTTTTGTTATATACAAAATTTTCCTAAAATGGTCCGTATTCGAGAAATTTGACAAAATGTAAAAAAAATAATTTTTTATAAAAATTGTTCAAATAAAAGTTGTTTGTAATATAATTCTCTATAATTTTTATTTTATAGATAATTTCTCTAAAATGCACCGTATTCGAGATATTTGAGAAAATGTGTAAATTTCGAATTTTGAAGAAAACTCAAAAACGGATAAAGAAAAAAACATTAAATTTTAAACTTAAGGTTTATTTCGGCCTGACGTGAAATGATTAGATTTTGGACATAGTCGGAACATCTGGGGGGGTACTTTATGGGAGGCCACTTTTATATTTTATGGAATATATCTGTTATTAATGTTTGGAGAAAAAAATTGTTCAAATAAAAGTTACTTCTAATATTATTTTGTAAAAATTTCCTGAAATGGTCCGTATTCGAGAAATTTGACAAAATGTGCAAAATTCTGATTTTTATGAAAGTTTTTAAAATTAAAATTGTTTGCGATATCGATCTCTATAATTTTTGTTTATGCATGATTTTTCTAAAATGGACCGTAATGAAAAAATTGTAGGAAATTTAAATTTTTCAGTATTTTCGTTTTCCATGAATATCTATAGAAAAATGTTTCGAGGTAGATGTATGTGGACAATGTATATATTTAGTTTATCCTCTAAACATTTATAGAGATGCTGTAATAGGTTGTACAAAATAACCGGAAAAAGCCTACAATAACTAGAAAGGAAAGTCATGTGTTGGACACATCAGATTTTTTAAGTTCGAAACGATAAACTTGTAAATTTTGTGGTAAAGCCAACATTAAATGAAATTAAAATTAATAAAAAAAAAATTAAAAACGTACACTGGTAACTCATTAATATTTAAATTGGTACAATTAAGTTGCAATATTTACCAGTCAATGGTTTCTTCACTGCAGCCACAGATATCTCTTTCAGGTTCTTGACTTGTTGTTGATTTGGATAACAATTAACGTATGTGACTTCGTGTCCCCTGTCGGCTAACTCTTTTGAAAGTCTGTATCCTAAGGTGTAATGACTGTGAGCACAATATGAGAAAACACTTAGAATTTTCAGGCCATCTGTAATTATTATAGAACATACTATTAATAAGATTGTCTGTAATATCTTCATATTGTGTCACTCTGTCTCGATCTTTGAACACGAACTGATTCTGATATACTTGTTTACAAATTGCATGCTTTAAAATATGCTTCGGTAGATTAGATTGTATACAGTGCCGTAGTCATCAATTTGTTTAGATAAAATTTTAACTGAGAGGTGAACCACTACCGAAATGCTGGTTCGTTTTCACTCAAATTCAGCGTAGATAATGACTGAAACATTCACGAAGAGCTTGAATTGTGTACATAATGCGAGATAATGTAATTTTCACCTTTGTCGCCCTAAAATTAATTCAAAATTTCAGACATTATGAAGCTAGATATGCTAATATAAATAATTACCTTATGCCCCAATTGTACGTCTCTTTTGCTGAATTATATTATTTAAATCGTTTAACTATTATAATGAATATTTTATTGCTCGTTATATAGAATTACTCAAAATAACGACTGAAAATGTATATTATGTAGGTAAAACAGAATTTCCCAGAGTTTGGAATAAATAAAATTATAATATAGTAATTTAATAATAATGAGCTTATTACAGACTTGCAAATGAGATTACATTTAAGACAATAGATACAAATCAATATTTGACGACTACAATATTTTGTATACAGTTTAGAAAAAAAGGATACAAGTCATATGTAGTGTGTAGTTAAGGTAAAAGTCCCAATGATCGATATTGTCTCAATAATCGTCACTTTTTCCTAGTTTCGAATATATTAAGATTTTAAAAGATGTTTCAAAGCTACAGTCTGTTCGCTATACTTACGCGGGTTTTGGATTAACAAAATTATGCAAATTAGTCATTGACAACCAGTTCCATTAAGCCTCTTCCCAAGAAATTAGGTAAAATTGCCCTAATGGTCAGATTTAAATGAAAATAACATTAGGGTAGGTACTAAATTTGTTACAAATATTGCAGTTGAATTGATTCTTTGCAAGTGTTGACATTGTATGTATATTGTAAATTTAGTGGCAATTTTAAAAATGTCTAGACGTATGTTAGATGTAGATAGTCTAATTTGTAGTGTACATAAGTATTTTATGGATGAAAAAGAAAATGGTGGTCCTTTAAAATCGGTAATGTCTGTACAACAACGCGTATGCGATGCTCTAGGAATTAGTGAAACCAAATTAAGAGGAGTATTACAAAATCACAATAGTGAACTGCCGAAAGAAGATAACCGCAAAACTCTCCCATCATTGAAAACGAAAGATATTCCAGATGGAAAAAAATTTGAAATTCGTGATACCATTTATCGAATGAGGGCCAACAAGGAACATGTGACCTTAAATACAATTCTTTCGGAATGAATAGATAGAAAATTTGACGACATTGGCAGAACAAGTCTATGGCAAGTGATACATAACTTGGGTTTCAAATTTCAAAGGGAGGGTAACAGAAAGGCCCTTTGTGAAAGAAGTTCTGTCGTGCACAAGAGAATTAACTTTCTAAGAAAATATTCTAAATTTAAAGAAGAAGGGGCGAATTTTATATATTTAGACGAAACATGGATATTTTCTAGGGGTGCAACCAAGAGAATATGGCAAGATGATAACGTAAAGTCCATGGAACATACCGATGGAGAAGGGAAGCGACACATAATTTTACATGCAGGAGGGAAATCGGGTATTATAAAAGGTGCTGATTTAATATTTTCATCTAAATCAAAATCCAGTGACTATCACGGTAATATGAACACAGAAATGTTTGTAAAATGGTTGCATGAACAACTTCTCCCAGGTTTAAGTGAGCCCGGCGTAATTATTTTAGACAATACACCTTACCATTCTGAAGTATTAAACAAAAGTCTAACGAATTCTTGGACTGTTGATAAAATTAAAGAATGGTTGACAAAGGAACATATACCATTTCCTCAATATATATTAAAATCAGAATTATAACGCTTGGCAAATATACACGCAAAACCAAAAACCTTTGTTGTGGATCAGATTATTGGAAGTAACGGTCATCAAGTTTTACGTCTGCCACCGTATCATTGCCAGTTTAATCCCATCGAATATATATGGGGAATAGCAAAACAATATTATGACAACCATATTGGGCCTAATGGTTATAGTGACGACGCAGTTCGGGAAACTTGGCGAAAAGCACTTTCAATTGCAACTCCAGAAGTGTGGCGGAACTGTATATCCAAGTGCGAGAAACTAATAGAAGATTGGTGGACTCGTGAAAATAAAATAAACGAAATAAGTCCAAACATAATAACAATTAATGGTAATGACAGTGATGATGATGACGATTATGATATTTTGGATGATAATGACTGATTTTCATTTTTGTTGGCAAGTTCAATTTTTTTTATTTTTCATTTGAAATGCTCTACATGGAACAAATATTTATGTTAGAAAATATTTTATTTGAGCTAAATAACCCTCTTATTATACATAGACCATATTTACTGTGTGAAGTGTAATATAAAATTATTATTAGGTTTATAATAACCACATTAGACTCCATTACTGAAGAAGTTTAATTGTGCTCTCAATTATACAAAAGATTCTCCATTATTATTTAATTGAAAATGTGTACATTATTTTTCATTTCATTTAACCAGTTGATATTTCCCCAAAGAACAGGTGAAACTTTCGGGTTCTTACCTGGAAATACTCATAAAATTTTTAATCCGAAACCTGCGTAAGTATAGCAAACAGACTTTACGTAATACGAATGAGCGCAACCTCTAAATTTAATTTAAAGTTCCCGCGAAATATTTATGTAAATGTGACTGCAGCAGCAAATATTTCTCAGTCGAGTGTCAGCCACCGCCTGAAGGGGAGTGATTTTGTTATCTAATTTTTCGGGACAACCATGGATTATATTTAATTTCCTGTGGTAAAAGTAATAGAATTTGATTTGAGTTTCTATAAAATTTTTATTATTTTATAGGTATTTTCATTAAAAAATAGGTAGCCCAAACATTGACACCATAATTGGAGTTATGCAGTATATTTAAAATATTTTATTTAACAGTTTAAATAAAAATAATTTATTAAATAATCATTTCACCTACCATTGATATCTTTTATTGTAAATAAGTGATTTTCTGATTAAATATTGTTTATGTTGATATAGGTACTATTCTGTATCATTATATAATTTTGTTTAGATATGCCAGTTAAAAGTTTTCAATTTTAAAAATAGGACCACTTCAAATTATCTTTTATGTTTATCGACATCTATCATAATTTTCATATATTATCGTTTTTTATAAATACTTGTCGATAACTACTCTACGAATATGCCGATAATGTCGATTAAACGTTATTCAAAATAAAATTTCATACAGAGTATTTAATATTATCAACTAAATACGGCCCTGTACTATTTCTTGTGCGTCCACTGCGTTGATTGATTTTTTGAAGTCATACAAATCAATAGCTTATTTATTTCTTTGATATTCGCCTCAAAGAAATTTTTTTGCTTTCAATTTCTTATTATATTAGATTGACAAATGTAAGGTATGCGATATATGTTTCTCACTCAGATTCAAATTCATTTAAATTCAATACATATATTATATTGGTGGCTGGTGAAATATCAACATACATACAGTGTAGAAAATTATAAAAAAAAACGCTGGGACACATTTTGAACTAAATTGTACGTTTTCCGAACGAAAATATAAATATACAGGGTACTCTTTTTTTCTAAGGGAATACATTGCATCATTTTATATTTATGAAAATATTGATATGCAAGTCAGTTTTATAATAAAAAAGTTCACTCACCCTTTAAATCTGACTAACAAAGCTTATTCTCAGGGTCCGTAGGTTTCCTTTAAATATTGCCTTCTCCAACAAATAACTTCATCTTTCTCTATGAGCGCAGATCTTCTTCCAAACGAAGTCTGATTCAAAGTTTTCCACAAGTTGTCTCTTTTAACGTTTGGCAAAGTTTCGTCTCCATTAATGTCTACTAAAAGTTAATCCAAAGCAGGTATCTTTTTTTATAAATAAAACGAATGCACTTTTCTTCGGATCATTTGTTTTATAGTATCGTCTCTTTAAAAGGGTTTTCTTCCAGTTAACGTTTTAGGTGCTACTGTAATACCTCCATCCTTCAAAAGTCTATGAATGGTTGCTTTTCCAACTCCGGTCATATTTGAAGACTTAGAAATTATACTCTGAGCAGTATTTACTATTGAAATGTTCATGTACAAGAGCGTCATGTACATTTAACACTAAAGTTTTCGTATGCATGGTTAAATTGTACTTTAGTTTCACAGAAGTATAATTAGACGTTTGTCACCTATTATTACAGAACCAATAATTGTGCGTGTTACTGGACTATATAAACAGAAATGTAAATCTTAACTAAAATAATTTACAATCTGCATAACACTTTCTGCCGATTAGAAATGTTAATCCTTTCTAAGAAAGTTGAGGGCTACTTAAATTAATCTTTAATTGTAAATATTTTCTACCTGTAGATATTACATAATTACCTTATTTTTGGTGTTTAAAATTTAAAATAAGAATAGAAATAAATTGGCATTTTTAAAAATTTTAGAAAGAAAACCAATGGAACAAATAATGCTAAACATTTTATTTTTAAAGGTGTACTAGAGTCTCCTAAATCGTTTTTAAAATTAGAAACAGAAAAATACCATTGTTTTAAAAATAAATTCGAAGAAAAATTCAAATAAATATATTACATACCTCTATAAAGCAGATTATTCCAGGTACAGGAAACTTTATTTAATTCATTTATAACCTTATTTAACCTTCATCTACAAATGCAAACAGAATTAATTAACTGCACTTTGGATAATCACTGTTTTGGTATTATCTAATATTGATGTGTTCTGCCCAATAATAATTGTTTTAAATCCTTTTCCGATAATTATTAACGTTGAAAATACGTTGTGTTTAAGCGAATTGTATTTTTTTAAAAATATATTGTACAGAGTGTCCATAAAGTTGAATATTAAATGTTGGGTCTAATTCGATATAGTACCACGCAATTTTAGGATATTTTTTTGTCTAAAACATCGCCGAAACATTTATAATATTTTGAATATGTTCGCT